TGACCAACAACGGTCAAGGCAAATTGACGTTCAATTTTTTCGTGGTTAAACAACCTTCACACAGGCAACTATGGCCGGGCTCCACGTTGCCGCGGACTCAGATGTCATGATCGCTTCTAAACTTCATTTAGAAAGCGACCGAGGTGATTGCAGACGCCATGGCAATGGCCAATGCTGGCAAGACTGCGGACGAAGTCGAGCGGCGTGCCGCACACTCAGCACCTTAGTTTTCTTTGTTGCTTCGCGAGCGACTCTGCGCTCAGTTCGTGGTCAAATATGGAGCCCTCGCGTACTGCGACGCAATGCAGGCGCGGACCCTGCAGCCGTGTTAAAACGCGGCCACAGACTGCCTCATCAGGAGTTCTACCGAATGCTCCGCGCCGAGCCTCTGGATATGCGCCTTGCGCACATTGAGGCTCGTCAGGCCAAGGACGTCGCAACAGGCAGGGACCACCGCGGCGAGCAGCGCGGCGACGAGTCGCGTCCAGCTGCCGTGCATTTATCAGGACTCCTGTGGCGCGGCGCCGACAGCTACCAGCATTGTCGAGTCGCCAAAGGCCTGCTGACCGACTCTTGAAAAATGCAAACTAGATGCACCTTCCTCAGGCGACGCCGACATAACGGTAGCCGAGCACATCGCTTGGAACCCGAAGGCAGGAAGACTGCCATGCATTCGGTAAGAATCGAACCCTACGGCACAGGACTCGCCATGGTTATCGTACACAGAAAACTTTCTGGTGGCGTTGTGGTTTTCCTTCGCCAAGGCACGGCTCACCCACATAATCCATTACACTGTCGTTTGTAGCCGTGCGAGGCAACACCCGGCGAAAGGAAGGTTCTTGCGGCATTAGATCCGTACGACAATGCCACCTTCACGCTACAGAAGGACCGCATCACGCGCTAGCATTTTTCCTTACTGTGCAAAACTTCAGGATGCCGATCTTTCTATCACTGGCCGACGACGACAACCAGGAAGCGGCATGCTGGCGAAGGCGCTTGGGGCATCCGGCCACGGTCAGCATGCGTCCCGCCTCATGCCTTTGCAATCGTGCACAGGCCCAGAAGTTCACAAGATGGGCGGAAGAGCGCTTGCTCACGGGTGTGCCAGAAGGCACCTTCGTCACACACCTGGCCGGTGCCTCAGAAGACGGAGCTCCCTGGAGACATGCATGTTTCGTCCGGTGAGGAGCTTCGCGTCACCGCGGCTGATGTTGCCTGGGCCGCCTCATCAGGGAGCAAATGGAAGCTATCGGCGCCCGCACACCGGCGCGAGCTGGTGGCACGCTTCCCAGTTGACAGTGTGCGTGCAGACAGACTCTTGAAAACATGTTTTCCAGGAGTGGGCCGAGTCCCTGAAGCGATCCATGGCGAGTGCCCGAGCATTCGTGCGCGCCACAAGCTTGTCTGTTGTGGATTTCATCGAGGCCTTGGCCTGAACGCCGACAACGGCGTGACGCGTCCCTTTCGGCGAAGGCGCTGCGGTTGCGTGTGCAAGACACGGCCGCGCGAAAGCCGATTGATTTCGACTCCTAGGCCGCAGTTGGCGGGGAGAGCACAGCCCCGCCCTGTGAGCTGTTCGGCATCGCCTAAAATCGCATCGTGTTTGGACAAACTTACTAAGGCAAGGAACCGTTGTCTGGATGATTCATGATCTTTTCCCTATCTAGATCGACTGATCGCTGCATGCCCTCATCGGAATAGCCTCAGGACAAGTCGCTTGAATTTTCTGTTTCTTTACATGGTTCACAGCAGTCTGCAGTGCATAGCGGTACGCGACTCTCTGTCTCCACAATGTCGTCTTGGTCGTCGCTGGAGAAGGGCGGCAAAGTGATCTCCCTGGACACCAGCAGCTCCGAAGAGAACAAGGAGCCAAACAGCCCTGTGAATGAGGAAGCCGCCGAGGGAAAGGAGGCCGCGGTTGCGAGCAAAGCTGAATCGCATATGCCAGCAGTGAAGGTCGAGAAGACGGAACCCGATGACACCAGTTCCAAGAAGCGGAAGGCTTGCGACATGATTTGGCGCGAGCACACAGGTTTCGGCCTCTGCCGCGGCTCCAACCAACTTCCTTGCAGCTTCGGAAAGGATGGACTTCCTGCACAGGCTGGTCCATGCAGCCGCTGCGACCTCTGCAGCAGCGAGGCGCTGGAGGCCTTGCACGACGGCATGCCACAGCGAGTCACCCACTTGCTGTCAAACCTCCATGGAAAGCCCCTCAAGCATGCTTTCGTGCGTATCAAGATTGTGTTAGGCAAGGCAGCAGAGGCCGACTACAAGATGCGGCGACATCGAGTGCTGCAACGTCGAAATCCGCATCGGCCCAAGCGAGCTCCTCGCAAACCAGTGAAGGCTTGAACGAGACTTCTCACAGCCACTGCTGGTGGCTCAGACATCGCCAAGCCTCCGCCTTTGTCACAGCTCAGTTGCTAGTTGAAGATGTTGCTGAAAGTCCGCGGTGAGTGCGGCAGACACACAAGCACGCAGCAAAAGATAGGCTTGTTTCTTGCGTGTAGCTTCGCTGAGCAGTTGCAAGACATGTTTCAGCCGAGCTCGACAGGACCGCTGCCAACAGCGTCTGTTGATTCGTGTTTCCTATCAAGCAATCAGCTTCCAACGACCTCGAACTAGCTTTGTTCTTTTCGTCGCTTTAGTTGACATGGCCAACCTTGCGCACGACCTCTTCGAGCACGCTGCGCCGGAGCCGGAGGCACCCGCACCAAAGCTGGACCGCCGAGTGAAGCTCTACTCCTGGGACAGCGTGGCGGTCCAGCTGTTGGAGCCGTACGGAGAGAGCGCTCTAGACACCCTCTCACTGCAGCAGCTGTGGAAGGCGGCCAGTGAGGGGAACAAGAAGGCCGCCTACCACTCGCACCTGTGTGCCGACAAGACCACTGACATGTGGCACGTTGGTGCCGGAGTGTCCCTCACGGCTGCCGCACTGCAGGCTGCCATAAAGAACTTGGAGTCCGATAACATGCGCCGCTTGCTTCGAGAAGAGCTTTACAACAAAATCATGACGGAGGTTGCCGAGTTGAAGCCCATCCTCGACAAGTTAAACATCGGCAAGGGCTCCCAAAAGCAAGACACCAGTGCAGGCAGCATGCGCGAAGCTAAGCGACAGAAGACAGGCACCAGCACAGTGCACGCCTACACCGAAGAAGAAGTTGTTGCTGCAGCTCGCAAATTCCACGAGTGGCTTGGTCGCGAGAAATCGGCACTTCGCGGGGCATTGTTCGTCTTGTCCGGCAACAACTCGTACTACACGGCCCACGCCGCTGAGTTCGTCGCTCGTGCCTGCATCCAGTACAAGCCTCTGAGTGCCGCCGAAATGAGTGCTTGCATGAGAGCTCGTCTTTCCAAGCCTGCCGAGCCGCAGGAGTCCACGCGGCCGGGTACAGATCCCACGGGTCTTTTCGACTAGGCTCCGGCATGGAACGAGCAGTGCAGATGTTGAGTTGCATCATCGAGACTCTCGGACTGCACTGCTTCGCATTTGCTTCATTTGGCTCCGGCATCTTTTGATTTCCCTGTCTGTGCACTAGTCTGCTGCAGATGTTGAGTGACAACTGTGCGTACGCCACGGTGCCAGCTCTTGTACTGAAGCTGACGCATCCTTGCTTGAGCCATGCAACAGGACCTGTGAGTTGATGAAACCTCGTCGTTTGTGTTAGGGCTGGACAAGACGCAGCTGCTTCTGCTAGAATCCTTGCGGTTTACTTCCCTGTATCAGCTTGATCGCGGCCTAAGCAGCTTCTTGGGATCAGCATCGAAAGCCTCTGTCAAGACCTTTCGCTAGCCTCTACCATGGCCTTGCCTGTCGGCCTCGCGAACCTCGGCGCCTCATGCTTCATCAATGCGTCGGTCCAGGGCCTCATGGCTATTCCAGCACTACGTGAAGCCATCGCCGCCGGCACATCAGACATGGAACTTGCCTTGCGGGCAGTCCTTCGGAAGTTGGAGTCGCGTCAAGCCCGCATCGTGCCGAGAGAGCTGACGAATGTGTACTACCACGGCAGACAAGAAGATGCCGGTGAGTTCTTGGTGCTGCTACTGGCCGAGTGCCCGGCTCTGCACCCGTGTCTTCGCGGACTCGAAGTGCCACTATTGCGCTGTCGGCATTGCGGCTGTGAGCGAACTTCGCAGCCCGAGGAGTTTCTGTCGCTGCAAATCTCCGTGCAGGAGGAAGGTCCCATGAGATCGGTGCAAGAAGCCATGACGCACTACCTGCAGCGGACCCAGATCCGACAGGACTTCACCGACTGGTCTTGCGAGAATGCAGAGTGCATTGGTGCGCAGCGAGCTCTGGACGAACCTTTGGCGTTCTACATCATCCCGGAGTGGCCCCAGGTGCTGCAACTACTTCTCCAGCGGTGGACCCTCCACGATGTCGTCGGCCACAAAGTCCATTGCAATGACGTCTTGGACATATCTGGCAACCGCTACCGCCTACAGGCTCTCATCACTCACA